AGGAGACTGGTTCCAGAGCCCAAGCCGTGCGTCGAGGCGAGCCCAACTATATGTAGTCGGAACCTCGCAGCCTCGCGCACCAGCTCAGGCTCCTTCCCCACCAAAGAGGTGACATTCCATGTCCCTAGAGCTAGCTTCTGCAGCCGAGGATCGGACCACCAACGTCCCCGCCTTTGGCCACTGCCCAGCTCACAACGCACCCGACCCCTATGGCCCCTCCTACAGGTGGTGAGCCCATTGGAGGGTAACTGAAAATATTAGTCAAATAAAACAAGTTTTCTTTATAACATGGAAAGAGTATGTAACAGTTCATGACTGACATCCTATTGACTGGTTGTGTGGTGATGTACTGGTTGTCCTTGTAATGCACTAGTTAAGTGTTTCATTTCATGAAACAGAGCAGAATTTGATGTCCCTTGTAGAAAGAATGCCTTAAAATTTCTCTGTTGTTATAATTGTTATAGGAGGTTACTTTCATGAATTAAACATATGACATTTTCTTGCTAATAAAGGTACCCAAATGGTGAACATGCTGTAAATTTATTTATTATCCAAGAATATTGAGTGTATTTTTAGTAAATCTTAAGTCAGTAACATGCAAATATAGAAAATCTCATTGTGTGCAAAAACTTTTGACTGGTAGTGTATACCAACTGTGCTCATGTATCTGTTTCTAGATTTTCATTCATTAGAATAAATATTAACATAGTAGCATGCTAGCATTTATCTATGTTCTTCTGCCTGAGCTTATCAAATGTAAAATATAAATGGCCATACCTCCATTAATCATTTACTGAGTGTGCATTTTTAGTTTTTTTTATAGATATACATGTATAATGAAGCCATTTTATTGATCATACAATCACAAAAATTACGTCTGAAGACGTCTCTAAATTTTTTCTCATCCCCGGACTTTGTGCAAGTTCAAGAAACAATAACATTTACACAATGCATATGAAAAAGATAAGACTTAAGGATGTCCCATGTACTCACGGAAACTGACGAGCAATTGCTTATACTGTTTGAGTGCCTGGTCAAAGTTGCCTTTCTTCAGAATGAGAACGCCCTTTTCCTCATTTATGGGGCTTTTAGCAGTTCTTTTGGGTTTGGCATCTTCTGTCTGATTTTCAGAAGTGACACAGACTGCAGCCACAATGAGCAGGCAGGCATGTAGTGCCTTCATTGCAAGGGAAGATCAGGAAGGGAAAAGACCGAAGTTCTGAGTGGTGATCATTATAACGAGATGAAAGAACGTGTTCCTCTGTGATTGTTCAGTTACCACGTGGGAACGCCGAGGTTATAACTGATAACGGTGTGTACTTTGGTAATGGACTTGTTTTATCACTTAGGTGTTTGAACTGAACAAGGTGACTGTAGGTGACTTTAAGATTTTTAAAACATGTTCAGGGAGAACATTAACCAAGGTTTTTATATAGAGCAGAGCATTGTGTATGTGTGTGTGGCGGGGGGTTGTTATTGTCTTGCAAATAGCATAGAGCACAGACTTAAATATATTTTATTGGGATTTTATATGATAGACCAGCACAAAGTAGCACATAATTGTGAAGTGGAAAGAAAATGATACATCGTTCTCAAAATGTTTGACAAATTAAAAGCCTGAAAAGTGTGCCATGCATTTGTATTCAGTGCCCCTGAGTCAATACTTAGTAGAACCACCTTTCACTGCAATTACAGCTGCATGCAAGTCTTTTGGGGTATGTCTCTACCCGCTTTCCACATCTAGAGACTGCAATTTTTCCCTACTATTCTTTGGAAAATAGCTGAAGCTCAGGAAGATTGGTCAGGGAGCGTCTGTGAATGGCAATTTTTGCCACAGATTCTCAATGGGATTTAGGACTGGACTTTGACTGGACCATTCCAACACATGAATATGCTTTGATCGAAACAATTCCGTTGTAGCTCTGGCTGTATGTTTAGGGTCATTGTCCTGCTGGAAGGTGAACCTCCGCCCCAGTCTCAAGTCTTTTGCAGCCTCTAACAGGTTTTCTTCCCGGATTGCCATGTATTTAGCTCCATTCATCTTCCCATCAACTCTGACCAGCTTCCCTGTCCCTGCTGAAGAAAAGCCCAGTTCTTCAGCTATTTAGAAAACCTTAATTCGTCTGTCTGACAAAATTAAATCCTCAACTTTCTTGCATATTTCTGTGGAAGTTGCTTCCACAGGCCATCCAGAGTCAGGGTCATCTTCAATGGACTCTCTACCCCACTTAAGATGCTTGTACCAAAATTTTTCTTTGTAGGATGATGGGGCAGACTCACCATGAACTGCAGTTATGAGTTCATGGATCTCCTTTGGTTTTTTCCCTTCTTTTGTGAGAAATTTTATCACTGAACATTGCTCCAAATATAGCATTTTCTTACTTGATTTGCATGTCCGAACATTGTTTCAACACGCTTGCTACTTTCTTTCATACTCAGGTAGGTAAATTATTAAGCACCCCTCGTATGTTCTGCACCTGTCCATCTTCGTTAGTTCCAGTCATCAGTGTATTTTATTGGTTGTCTTTGTTTTGTTATTTAGTCAGTCATTGTATAAGGTGCCTGTGATAATGTTGCTCTGTTTGGTTTCCCTAGTCCTGCTCCATAGTTGTGTTGAATTATGGTTTCTTTAGTTTGTTAATCTGTGTTTTTTCCTGTTTTTGTTTTGACCCCTCTTGGTCTGTTTGTTTTGACATATTTTCCCCAGTGTGTTTAGTTATATTAAAGTTGCCCTGTGTATCATGACCTTAAGTCCTTGGCAAAAATGGAACTTTCAGTCTTGCCTGATTACCATAAAATTGTAAAAATACAATATGGTTGCGACAACTAAACGATCATGTTGATAATCATCAATAATAAAAATAGGTGGCAATCAGGCTACGTTCACACTGCCAACCACATCGTTAAATTCCCATTTTTTGCTCAGATCGGATTTGTCTCTCTTGATGGTTCACAGTCAGTGACCTGTATCTGACTGTAATGTGAATGCATCGGTCCTCCGAAACGTCACGCATGCGCAAATTGATACGTTTTTGCACGGGTAAAAAGCTGGTTGTAAAATTGGCACGTTGTGCGGCCATGACCGCTGCGCTGATTCAAGTCTTTTGCCTCTTTAAACTTTGATTTCAGGTTCTTTATTTTTCTTTGGCATTGTAGCCACGTTCGTGTCCGTGCTGTGCCATGTCTTTGGCAATTATTTCAAATACTACTCTATTACAATAGGTTCATTCCAGTTTAGCTTGAACAGATTCATTTCCCCAAATATCAATTAAATCCCCACCTTCTCCATCCTTCCACTGACTGTTATCGCAGCTCTCCTCCATTTTTACCTTCCTGCGCTGCTGGTGCAGGCTGATGTCAGCGCATGCGTATAAGCAAAAAGCCACATGAATTCCGATCTGAGCGTCACATTCAGGTCACATGGCCGCGAATCGGATACGTATC